TGGACACATTTGGATGCTTTTAGAAATCTACAGAACCTTTTCGGAGGGTTCTGCAAAACTCCTTTATTTTTAGAGAATAGCTTATTCTCCATACTTGGATGAAAATTTCCATTGTTAACCGTTTGTCCTTGTTCTCGAGTCCACCTGGACCTATCTGTAAAAATACTCAAAAAAAGAATAACTTGGCTTTACCCAAGCTTTTCATTGATGTAATATGAAAGTCTAGGTGCTCTTTTGTTTCATAAAGATTGATATGTCAGTTTCATTGGTGACAATATAAAGATATACAATATCGAAAAAATAAGATTGTCTGGAACCTGTTTCATGACAAAATTGGAAATAACTAAAAATATCTTTAATTAAATTATTTTCGTCTAGAATAATGGACATATGCGCATTTGTTGATGTATGTAATCACCTACATATATATATAATGGAGAGAGAGCTCTTTCTCTTGAAGTATTTTTATTTTTATCTTTTTCATTTTCATGATTAAAAATCAATAAAAACTTGGTTTCCTAATCACAATGATGATATTTTTCATATATGAGTTTCTTTGTTGGGTGTAAAGACTTTTTTTTAGTCTTCTCATATGCCTACAAGATATCATTTTGATGCTGTTGTAATGATAACGACAAACAGAAAACAAACAAAAAATGATGATCATAGTACTATAGTTGTTGTGAGGTCTACATGGATCCACAGCTTCATTTTGCTTCTGCTAGACCTAGCCATGATATCTTATACCGATATTATGCAGCAACAAAAGACTACAGATTAGAGAAGAGGTCTAATCCGAAACTGGAAATCTTAATGCAGTACTACACGAAACAGTGTAAAGTGGACCCACTTGAGCCACATGATAACAATGAAGAGTTCATGAATCATTATTGATGAAAACCATATGAACGTCAATAGGCACATTTAATTCTTTTTTCCAATACAGTTAAATTGTAGAAAAAAAGCAGCGAAATACACAGGCTCATTCAACCTATGACAGTGGTTTACATTTTGACTGACCTCTTAATAGCATTACTAATATTTGAAAGGGTGTTGGGTGTAACTGTGGTTCAAGAAAAGACCCATAACCACACCTATACTGCACACTTGACAGTAACTCTCGGCTCTAGGTCCACATCGGTATCCACCAATGGAGTCAAACAATCAAAAAACTTCATGACTTTCGTAAATTTTATACCAAAAACATGAAAAAAATAGTATTCCTGATGATGAAACGGATAAAAGATTGGATATTTTTCAAATTTATTGATGAAAAGTGCCATTTAATTAAGCAAATATAGTGACTTTCATTGTGAATCAAAATCATGCAATGTAATTAATGAAAATGTGTATTTTAATCGATGAATTTGAAATATATCCATTCATATTTTGACCAAACAAAAAAAAAGAAAGGAAACAAAGGCACATATAAAGAAGAAAACTGATTTTAAATCTAACTAATATTCATCGTTCATTTCATATAAAATGGGTAAAAAATGGTTGGCATCGATGCAAGAAATAAACATCTTCTTGATTTGAAGTATATTTGTTCTGCATGTTTATTGATACTACGAGATCCTGTACAATTCAGTAACTGTTGTCATCGACAGTGTCAAACATGTTTAAATGCTGAACAAGAGTAAATTTCCTCATTCATTTGACGCATTATTATCCATTGTTCTTTCTCAAGAGTGACAATTAAATGTCGACAATGTCAATCAGAAATATTACAAGTCGAGGTAAGATAGGTTTTCATGATTGAGAAGAAAATATATTTCTTTTTTGTAGATACGGCTTGATCAAGGTATTAAAAATGACATGAAATTATTACCCATTGATTGTTGTTTTTGTTACTGGACCGGCGTCTTGAATGACTATCAAGTAATTTATTTTATATTTATTTTATTCTTGAATCTTTTATCATTTTTCTTTCGAAGGAACATCTCGATCAGTTCCATTCAAATTGCAAATGTGATTATTGTGATAAACAGTTCAATTCAGTTAACACATTCAATGAACATAAAGTTTCAGAATGTCCACAAAGGATTGTTGACTGTATATTGAAGAAATTTGGTTGTAATGAGCCAGTATGAATATCTTCTAGATAAAGTGAACATCGTAAAATTCGTTTTGTTTAGATTGTCCGTGGCAAATTAACAGATCGTTATTTGACTGAACAACATCAGTATGCCATAATCAAAGTTGTTCGGCCAATATTATCGAAATTACAGGACAGACAAATGGATGTAGATCATCCTCCAACAACAACTGCAGAAGTTCCTACTACAGCTCAATCAGAAGAGCTTTATGAAATGCTCAATATTTTGGCAGGCAGCATTGAAACATTGAACAATGATGGACAATGTCTAAGCAATGAATCACTTCAAATGCAAATTAAAATTCCAACATTGATAGAAGAAGTATCGAAAATTAAATTATCTGTTGAAGAATCAAATACATTTTTGGAAGGTGTAAAATATAATGGAGACATACTCAATCAAGAGTTAACATCATTGCAAGAAAAACTCAATGATTTGCAACATGTTTCATATGATGGAACATTTGTTTGGAAAATTACAAACTTTAAAGAGAAAATGAGTAAGTTGAACAATTATTTTTATACTCAATGATAAGAACAGAAAAGTTTATCAAAAAGATAACTAAAGAATAAAATGGGATTCGATTTCAATAATATCGACTCATAATAGATAAATGATTCAACATTACATATACATAAAAAAATCAACTGAATACGATATGCTAGTAATCAATGGATGAATTCTCGTACATTTGATGAAAGAAATTTATAAATGTAAGTTAAAAAGTCGGGTTTTTCGTGCCCATCCATTACAGAAACCGAGGTTATAATCAATGAGTACATTTCCATAGTAATCAAGAACAACAGACACCAGGCTCTTTTTTTCTATTTAAATACCACCATTGATGGTGTCTATGTGAATCATTGGTAATGAATAACACTAAAAATATGAATTCATCAAGTTATAGCTTTCGGGACTAATCAATATCAAGTTTCCAAGATTATCGAGATATATAATAACACATCGATACATATTGTTGGATATAATAGATGCGCACAACAGAGTTGTATGTTATTTAAATGAACAGCTAAAATAATCATGATAGAAATTTAAGAAAAATGAAAATAAATAACCAGCGTACGCTACAAAAAATTTTTCGAGATACAGAAATAAACAAGAAAGACTGCTTTCTTGACGATTAAAAAGACATGTGATCCCCACATTTTCGCTTCGAAAAGTCTGTGCAGACAAACGATTTTGATTGATTTCTAGTTGATGCACAGTCGGAAAGACAAACATCCATTTATTCGCCGCCATTTTATTCATCTCCAAATGGCTATAGAATGAGAGCTCGTCTTTATTTAAATGGTGATGGTAATGCTCGTCGTACACATATGTCACTCTTTTTCGTGCTCATGCGAGGTTTGAATGATTCGATTGTCAAATTTCCATTTAACTATAAAGTCATATTTTGTTTGTACGACCAAACGCCTGAAAAACGACATATTATCGATTCATTTCGACCAGACATTAAATCGAATAGTTTTCAACGACCTCGATCGGATATGAATATAGCCAGTGGTATACCAAAGTTTTTCCCATTGTTGATGATTCAACAAGAAGGAAATCCATATGTACGAGATGACACAATGTTTATCAAAATTATGGTAGATTTTCAAGAAATACAAAAAACATTATTGCCCTATATGTTGAGTCTCAATCCGGGCCTACCAGCACATGTTCAACAAGCAATGATCAAGCAAGAAGCTGAACGAAGAATACAATTACGACCTGACGAGCAAGAATAGATACATCAAGGGTAATCTACTGTTTACTCTATGTCACGTATTGAAGCAATAATCAAGAGTATCTTCTTTTGAAGTTATACAATTTTCTAAAATTTAAAATAAAATCAGATGTTAAATTAAACTTTTCTTGTGAAGATGTAGGTCAGATGTGTGTGTGTGTGATTTTTTTCTTCGAATGTCTACTCACACTCTCGTATTGCTTGACAACTTCTAGTGATGTCAATTGCTTGTGGTTGAATACAGAACTCAGTTGATACCTCAATTTGGTTGAGACAGTGCAAAGGCTAATGCTGATAGTAGCTCTCTATAAAGGAACAGCATATCAGAATGCATAAAATGACGTACTCGAAACTTGATAGAATTAAACTTGTTGATGTAGATATGACTCAATAAAGAACAAAATCATACTCACGCTCAAAACCACCTCACGTTAAAATAAAAGACTTCTTCATTCTAAATAGTCACAATTGTATGTAACAATTTGCAACAAATCGATTTGAATGGAGGTGACATTGGTAAGATGGAATTCATTTTATTTCTATTTATCTTTGAGGAAATTTAGTTAATCCAGTTGAACCACTCGAAATATTTTCAACTTGTTTAACAAAAAAAAGAACAAAAAATTAGATACAATAAATATATAACGGTGTGACATTAGTTAAAAAGAGTGGAAATATAAAGAAATAATACTGAAATCTATTCGAATAATTATTTGACAGAAAAACGAACATACACATTACAATAAAATACCAACAACATTAAAAAAACAAATATAGGTCAATCAACTTTAATTTGTAAAGAATCTATCAGCTAAAACCATTCATTCTTCTTGGATGAGTTATTATTTGCACTCCAATTGTATTGGTACGACGAGGCTGTATTATTTTCAAAGTTTTTAGATGCTGCAAGACTTCTTTTGTTGTTACAATGTAGGCAAATGGAGTGAATAAAAAAATCAAATAAGGTGTAAAATACAACCAGAGAATCAATACACTGGTAAGAAAATTCGGATAGAAGGCAAGACGAATTATTGCAAATGTTGACAAAGGAATTTGCGTGAATAAAAATACACATGCTATCACCAAAAGTTGAATGACCATTTTTCTTGTTCGACGCCAGTTGAAAGCTATGTTTAGTCGTCGTTTCTGTAAAATAACACGAACGAGCAATGATATGTTAAAAACAATGACAATCGCGACCGGTAAAAGAACACTGCATATCCAATCGAGAGTTCCCAGCAAGATGTTTGACTGATAACAAGCGGAATTACATAAAAATACAGTGAAATCGAATGTATTCGTGCATGAATTGATGAGAACCAGTATTCCATACCAAACAATGGGTAGAATGCAGCAAAACGCCATTGGAATATAATGAAAGAAAATTCTTTGACACTGTAATCTCATCATTGTTTGCGAATAAAAGACCAATACGAATCGTTCAACACTTACAAAAGCCATACCAATATCGTTGATTGCTTGTAAAGTATAATTAATAAAAATCCAATATAGACACAATTGATCTGCATGAGGTTCCAATAAACCTTTTCGGAGAAAGCTCAATGTTATTGGTAGTTCAACGATTTGCAGGAGGAAACAACTGACCAAAATCAAGAGCATGCTATGATTTGGTAGACGACGCAATTCACGTTCACGAAAAACACAATAGAATATGAAGATACAACAGAGCACAGAAACTATTTGAAGACTTTGTAAAATATAATATTTCACAAGGCGAGTCGTCGGTGTTTCGAAAACGCCAGCGTCCGATATATCGTCGGTCGAGTTATTCATGATAGGTTTCAATCGAAGAAAAACTTTTCTCGTCTTTTATGTGAGGAGCTCTTAGTTAGGTCTGAGAAGTGTTACAATGAGTCTAGAAAAAAATACATTCAAGTAATGTTGTGATGCTTACTTGACATTGGATTCTAAGATTTTCCTATCGATAAAAACGATGCTAATTCATCACTCGAAATAGCCTACTCCAACGCGATTCATTTATTTAGCAATTAATGTCCTATACACTCGTATTTATCTAATTAGAGTAGGTTCAAAGTGAGTAGGAATTGGAACGATAAAGAATAATGAATGATGCTACACATGAAATCAATCCGAGTCATTTCATGATAAAATTTTTTATGGTTCTGATTTCAATATCAGAAGATCCCACACCTACGCTCTCATTGTAGAAATTCTATTAGAATCATTTTTATGGAAATTGAGCTCTAACATGTCAATTTGATATCGAAATTTGAGGTTAATTTTTGATTGAACATGACTCGCGTAAATATATTATTTTTGTTTTCATTTCCTTTATAGATCTCATTAAAAGAAAATTTCTAAAAATATTTACAAAAAGAATTACCGTTTAACCTCAAGTACCATTTTACACTCAACAACTTGTAGCTACTTCGATGATCATCATTAAAATGCATGAAACAAACACTGCACTCACTTATCTTAGAATAGTGTATAAAGTGTGAGGCTAACCTTACTGATAGATGCTATATACGATAGTTTATCGAAGAAAGTAAATTGAAATGATTCACACATGACAATATCAAATTTTACCTCCGTCAGACAATGAGAGTTCGAACGACAAGACAAATAATATTCTTTTCTAATATGTAACTAAACCAATTCTTCTTGATGTTGAATGTCTCTAAGATTTATTTAGCTTACTAGTAGCTTTCATTTTATGTCCGACTCAAAAAAAAGCTTCTTATTTACTTAAATTAACCAATTTTTTAGAATGCTTTAATCTTCTGTATTTTTTTCTATAAAAAAAAGCGTTGAATCCAAGATTCTGTAATTACGTATATATTTGACTTTCCAGTTCAGTAATTTGCATCTCCTAATTAGACACTTTACCTTCTATAGCGATTCGAGAGGAGCTAATGATAGGGCAGATCGACCGAACATTTTATTTTTTGTAAAGTGTAATCGATTACTACAGTAACTATTTGAGTAAAGGGGAAATTTTTGGCACATATTTACAAAAGAAAAACATAATAGCCACTGAAGATAATTAATCCATGCTGAATGTTATTTCAATTTCTCAAGTGATAAGATCTACAAAAAATATAATTATGATGGTTGTCATCTTTCTGTGTCTCACTAATTGTGGTTCCAAGGTCCATCTTGCGTCTTATCGTCTCTTTTTACCAGGCTATGGTGAAACTGTCGAAATTCATCCAATCAACAAGTAGATACCTTCATCAATCTAAAGTAAATAACATCCCCTTGAAACTACTGAAATGAACTGAGATATATTACTTTCGACTATGGTAATTATTGTACATAGCTTTATTAGGAGTTTTATGGCATTAAACTAAACAATAAGAATTCTTGGCATCATGTTGACAAACCAGATCCTGTTTATGGTCAGTACTTTTGAAAAAACAAAAAGGAAATGAGAAAAAGAAGACCAAATGTTTATCACGTTCTTCGTTCACTTTGCTATGTTTTATGACACAAGTATCAGCAAAGTTGATTTACATTTTTTTTTGCTAGTAATCAAACGCTTTTTAATGATTGACGAAGACTAGCTCCACATAAAATAAAGGACGAAACAAAAATTTTGTATTAATTTTTCTTTTGATGTATTGTTGGAACGAAATATAGTGTAGATCTCATTTTCTTGCTGTTGGCAAAAGCAGACTCTGTATTGCAAAATATTATATGAAATAAAAGCTTATTCAGTCTTCTATCATACAATAGTATTCGGAATAGAATACAGAGTATCTGTAAGATAAACAACCAAACATTTTTCGTGTGGTAAAGTTTTTTAGTCACTTTGTATGCTAGACCGATAATTTTAATATCAGAAGAAAATCTTCATTGTAATAAACAAGATGCTCCAAAATGTCTACAGTGGATAATGAAAAAGTTCCTCTCTCATGATATATAACAATAAGAATTGAATAACTTATATAAGACATACAATATAATAAGACACCTCTATAAAGTGGTAAAATACTATAATATTCTTTCATGTTTGAATTATTTTTAGTTTGTTTATAAAAAAAATGATTTAATGTAAACTGTACAATGGAAAACTTAATGGAAAACATGTTAATGATATAGATAAAAATATTTTTCTTAAATATATATATATCCGTTAAAATAAGTGTTTAAGATGAGTAATGATGTGTATCTAAACAAAATAATTATCTTTTGTGATTAAAATAATTCTATCAGAAAATGTTGGTGCATATTGTGGCATGTTTTAAAGAGAAATTAATAGTAAAGAAAAAAAAAAGAAATCTTCTACTGTAAATGTAAACATCATTCATATATATATCAATATAAACCATGTCTTATTTTGTTCCTACTAAAAATGCTTGTTGATTTTAAATCAACTATTTTTTTAACAAAAAATGAACGAGTTTAAGTGCATTTCACGTAAAAATTGCGTATATATTTTAATCAGTTACGTAGCTACAAAGATAGGATCTACAACAACATAGATTTTAGACCGTCCGATTGGGTTTGATGTACTCAGACCAATACTCATATAAGTTGTCAAAAGTCTACATCTGTTCTATCTCTAACCTGAAATGGAGCAGATTCATATGCTTTTCTTTTGAATTAATAAATGTTCAAGTCTAATAAATTTTATTGATGTTCACAAAAAATTTTATGTACGTCTAGATGTATGGTAATTTTTAATGATGTTTACTAACTAGCATCATATTGATGTTTATTTAAAACATAATATAGAAAACAAAGGTAGTGACCTAAATTATCAATCTCTGTTTCTCATTGATAGCAAGGTACTGAAGGAAACTTTTTGCACCTTTTGAATTGTATATAATTTATTTTTAAAACATGCTCTGAAATGAAATGATGAAAAAGAAAAGAGAAACATGAATCGGCATTTTGTACTATCGGAGTGAGCTAACTTCAAGATAAATCCGTAGAAAATATCACAAAAATAAAAGGATATTGGTATATCAAGATTTGATTTAATGTGTTTCAATAATGCTGATTGCTTTTTATATAAAACTGCTGGATACATATTTTAGTTTATTATGAACACATTTAGTACTAGTTAATTTTTCTGATTGAATCGGATTATTAGACATAATTTTTTTTTCATCTGTTTTAAGATAATATTTCATCTTTTGTGACACATGACATAATAGATGATGAATATTTCTTTTCATGTTAAACAACAACATAATAGGATTGGACTTACACATCTATAAAAAAAATGTTAATTTTTATGATTAGCCTTCAATGAAATACGCAGAAGCACGAAAAAGACTTCACGTCTATCATAATCAAGTTATTTAAAAAAAAGATGTTTGATTTTTTTAAGACGAAAATAAAACCAAATTTCATTTAAATTTAAAGATTAAATCATTAATACTACGAGCAGTATGATCTTCAGCTTCTTCATGATGTTAATAAAGTAGATACTTAAATGAAACTTTAAAATAAACGTTCCATTGATTCTCGAAAATATTTTTTCATAATTTAAAATTTTTTAATATGAAGACATTGTGTAATTTATTAATTCATTTTCTATTGTTTGATATAAAACTTGAAAGATAGCAGTGAAAACAAATTCACCTAAATTTAATGAAGTATTTAAATTAGCTGCAAGATCACTATCATCATCTATTGTTTATTGCATTAGTAAGTCTGAAAGATATGCAGTAAAATGTAAAAATTTTACTTTCATAATTCATCCGAATGTCATTGAGAGACTTGAAATACTCCATCGATATGTTATGTGCATAGCCAACATATACAGCAAATTAACTCTTTCAGTGTTTGTCATAACATTAGACATCTACATGTTCAATTGTGAAAAAATTCCTTGTGTAGTCTTGCATGACTGTAAATTCATGAAAGAGTATCACTTTTATATCTACATCCGCTATCAATCCTCAAGAAGTTCCTTTAATAGAAGTCATCGATAAATTGACTTGCACAAGTATTTTTGAATGAAAGAATGCTTTGTCTAGAAATTGTAATCTTTAGATCTACATTTTAATCAGACTCTCTCAAAAGTATGTCAATCTTTTCTTTGTCGATCCACACATCCTACCTCTTCGCAAGAGCGAAATAGTAATATCTACATTAAATACAAAACGTGTTCACACTTTCATGCATTGGAATTATCATCGTATACATTTCATTTATCGACATATAACAGAACATATTCTGATTCTTGTGTTTTTTCGAAGTCATATAGAATTATTGTCGATCTGACGCTTCTCTTAGGCGAAATAAAATCTAGACTATGACAGTTGTTTCATGTCCGACTCTAATATTGACAACCAAAAAAAAAACAAAATAATTAATTGCATTATTGATCAGTGATTATTCTTTTTGTGTACCGAATGTAAGTTTTTGATCTTATTATAGCTTAGAGAACTTGAGGAAGTTCCAATTGCCTTTACTATATAATAAATAAAATTGTATAACTATATAATAACTAACGAATATAACTAGATCCCCAATTGAAAATATACATTTTACTTATATGGTCCTATTAATGATATTGATCTATTTTACCTACTTTGTGATGCTCACTACTTAACAGACACTCCTTTAAATCAGGACTATAGTAACTTCAATGCTAGCTATGATATAGGTTCGATTTTCGATAATCTGTACTGCAGATGCAGTGGAGAGGGAGTCCTAAACCTCGATTTACATTTACGCTCACTTTTTGTTTCGCGAAATATATATGAGTTCCACAAAATAAATTGAATCTTATATCTTGAACAAAAACTTTAAATTGTTGAGTTTTTTGTTTCAAATTTGTTTTTAATTTAGAAACCAGCCATAATAGTGAGTATTTGCTTCATATATGAGATAAGATCTATTGGTATCGGATTTTCTCATGTACATAATAGGAATGTGTTTCATCTATTGACTGAGATGATCATCATAATGATTTCTAATGAAAAAAGATCAAATCTAGAATTTTTTCATGCATACAAAAGGTAAGCAAAATATTGGAATAATTTTTTTGAAAACGCATTTCTACTTTTATTGTTGTTTCTCCCTGAAGTGGATTTTTGCTATATTTCTTTATGACTATGTTATTATTATCTTAACTTTTAGAAAAAATATATGCAACATCATGATAAATACATTATAGTTATCATATTTAATTTTCAAGGTGCGAGAAATAGGAGTCACTCACATATTAGTCTGCTTTTTCGTTCGCAATGCCAACAGAATGATGAAGTCAATGGATGCCTGTAAACTTTTTTCCTACCTTGAATATTTACATACACTTTTATCGTGCTTAAAATAAATATACACACATACTTTAGAAGTACAACTGATTTCATCTAATATAGTAAAGACAAAGGCAAGTGTCGACGAAAATAAACTTTACGACGGGAAAATGTTTATGTGAACAGATCACTGGTTCAATAATGAAAGAAGCACTAAATGCTACTGACGAAACATGTGTATGCCATTGTAAGAATTGTTGTCGAGCAGGTGGTTCTCTTGCATCAATCAATGTTATTGTTCCGGAATCTGCTGTTGAAATTACAGGACAACCAAAAATTTACCATGATAGCAATACAGATAGTGGAACGACGATTCAACGCACTTTTTGTGATAATTGTGGTAGTCCAATTTATTCTACTACACCCACTATGCCTGGTGTCCGTATTGTTAAATTGGGATTATTTGATGAAATTCCAAAACCATCATTTGAATTGTATTGTAAAACAAGACCATCTTGGAACAAACGAATAGATGATGCAAAGCAATTTGATGCAATGCCGACAAAATAATCATAATACTTGTATTTTCCAATAAATTATCCTAATAACATAGGATACAAAAATAATGACACAAAATGTTGATTTCTGTATCTCTTTGATAACTCTTCCATACAAACATTTCGAAAAGAATATTTTTTTAATCAGTTTATAGAAAATTTTCTTCTCTTTCACACAGTATATAGCTTATATTTGTCACACATTCGTAAATGAAATGACTCGAGAGAAAACGAAAAACACTAGCGCAATAAATTTGTGATTCTTTATGAACTCGTCAAAAATATTTCCTTAGACAACAATTACCCGGGTGTAAATGTGGATTCAGAGAAAACACTCATACCCTCGATTCAATATAAACATTTGCACCTATGAGTGCTGCCAATATTATCATGTTCTTTCACATGGTTGATCAAAAACAATTTCATATGGTTATATATATCATTGTCATCATGCATTCATGTTGATAGATATTGATTCATACTCACACCCTAAATGGAAAAACGACTGCTTTTTTTATATTGCAGTCGAAAGTAATACATTTGAACAATATTTATGAAGTTTGTTCGTATCAAATAAAACTTCAAACTAGTAACTATCATTTGAAAAAAATTAGTTGATTCTCTTTGATAAATAGCGAAGTTGTTCGAATTTACTTTCTTCATGGACTTTTAGGACATTCAAGATATAAGAACAACAATCATAGTATGTAAACTATTCGCAAACAGACAACTACCATTTTAATGTGACTGATGTCACATGAATAAAAAAAGGACTACAAATTAAAAAACAATTATCATTTAAATAATTCAAAAATGACTCCAAATGACTTTTTACTTTCGGGAAAAATAATATTTATTTCACATTCTCTATTCTTTTTCTTTTTTGCCATTCAGGTCTAACAGTTATTGAATTTCGCTTTTCTTTAATAAAAGTATTACCTACTGAAATTTATCCATATTTAGTCTTTTTTGTAGGGAAAATATGTAACTAATAACACAAATAGAGTGTTAAAAGTTAATAATCATATGTTTAGTTGTTATTTTATCAAAATAATCATTGAATCAGAATGTCTATTCATCATCTCATCATATATAATATTATTATCTATTGGGTTGAATTTACATTTAAAGATATGCTCTTTTTTATGTGCATTCGTTCATTTAATGTGAGATAATTTATTTTCATAGCGCATATTTTGTATACATAAATGTGGTGATGAAAAGCATATTTATATATCGATTATATCATTCTTTAGCTTGTACTTACAGTGACTGATGTGACAACATATACTGTTTAAAAATTGTTTGCGAAAAATGAACTTTCTCTTGTTCATAGAGAAAAAAAGTGTTTTCACAAATGCATACATGTTTTTGAGCTGTCAAAACACTGTTCATTTGTGATTTACAAAAGAAAATAATTTATAACATTTAGTTGACTCTTTTTATGAATATATTAACTAATGATCAAAACAAAAAAGGATCTAATGTTTCTCTTTCTCCAATATTCATAGTTATTGATCAATTCTGAAGGCTATTTTTGATAATTTATGGAATTAGATGGTACTATTGATTCAAAGTCTTGAAAGGATAACAACTCTTAGACTTTTTCTACAAAGTTACAGACAATTTATTAAAATTTCACCTCAAGATAATCATCTTCCTATCACGAGATATTAAATTTGTCAAAATGAATCATATTTCATCAAAGATTTGAGAGTCTCATGTTTTTTGACAATTCAACACTGCGTGAAGGAAACATTCTTTTGAAGCTGACAGTTCCCGGAAATTCTAGTTACACATATGCCTATCTATAGACAAGGTTTTCGGTCATAATATTGTCATTCAATTCTTTGGTATATACTGTGTCATAGGCTTAAATTTCAATAACACAGCTATAATTCTGTACCAAAAACGTAGGGTCCATCATTCTTTTGAAGTTTTTGATATCTCATTGAAGTCTACCATGTGTACAAAGTCTATAGTCAAATGCGATTGTCAAATTTGCAAGGTTACCTCATCAGTACTTCTTCGATATCGAATATGACTAAATTTTGTTAAATGAAATGCTTCTACTCATGTATAATAAAAAAAAGTTACACAAAAGCGAATAGTAATAATAATCATTTCAATCGTGAATATTTTCCCATATAATCATACATGAAATAATTGTATTACTAATCAATAGAAATAAGTTAAATATACCATTCTTTTAATAGAATATGTAATCATCATTTGATCATGTTTTTGAATCAGTAAACCGCGTTATTATGAAAAAAACCCATCACACGAATAAATAGTCATTACTCAATCGTTACTCATCTTCAATATTTATTTTTTAGCTTCTAGCTAGTAACAAGTAGGTTACCTGAAACGCCCTACAATATACAATACAAAAAACCTTATTTTATGTATGTACCTTTAGTTTTCAGCATAGACAAAGTTCTGTTGGACCTATTTTCGATCCTGCGAACAATATCATTTGTTGGTACACGACGAATTTCTTTTCTTATTTCATTAATTAATGAATCGTGTTTTCTAATTTTATATTATTGACTATGTTTTGTAATTGTTTGATAATTTGAACCAATTTAATGCCATCATCAATTATTCATCTAATTATGCAGATGTAATTTGCTATTATGAGGTTTGTATGTTCCTCTAACAAATAACATCAGAGTAGCTAAAAAAACAATCGAGACATATCATGAATTGCTCTAAAACTGACTATCAATTATAGCCTTCGATAAGACTCATTAATCGAAAAAAGGTACAACTGCAGAAGAACGACACTCTCTACACTAATTGGTGTAATTTACAGGACACATCAAAGAATGTGGGTGCCGCGGTGTCGTTCTTTTGCAGTTGTACCTGATACACATCACATCACATTTGTTTTTGTATATATGAAACATTTTTTACAATGTAGTCAAGCATGATCATCTTATACTGCTCCTTGATAGCCGATTAGCATCATAGAAGACAATAGACAGAAAGAGAAACATGAATGCAAATGATCTTAAAAATAACGTTGTTGATATTATACGGAAAGTAAAAATCGAATTAAAGTTAAAATATTCGAACATAAAATACATTTTGGCCAATGATTTTACAATAAAAGATTTCATATCAGACTTTGACAATTATTAAATATCGTTATTTTTCAAGTTAATATAAACTGTATTAAAAAATTAAGAAGCAATTAGTTCCAATGATAAATTCTTAAAATAATTTTCTATCGATTGTGCTTTTCATTCATATACTTTAAATTGAATTGATAAAAAAATTTTTACAATAATGAGACACATCTTCTGATAGTTTTCAAGGAAAAATATTGTTCATTATAAATTTTTCTACTTTTTTAGTTTTATTGTTTAACGTGTTCGTGGTCATACTCAGAAAGGAAAAATTTAAAACCATGTGTTTGTTATATTTTTTTTTTCCTAAATAGATATTAGAAATAATTTCTGATATAGTTTTTATATTATTAAATAACGAATTAGAACATTCTTATCTTTAAGAAACTTACATTTTAAATATATGTAAGCTATAAGGTATGAAGAAAGTAAATAGTAGATGATGTCACAATATTCAAGTAAAGTTAAAATGTTCGTTGCATTATCTTCTTATCTTTATCTATGTTTTTCTTTTCTATTGCTTTAATATCATTTTAGTTGGTTAACAAGCAACAGTAAAAATAGAATCTGAGAAAAAAAGAGAGTAACTCAAATGATGTTGCTTTTTATAGAGAATGTCGAGAGTTAAAAACGATTTTTATATTATAAAATAATGTTTCACATGTCATGAAAGGTTTGTATGTGTAGACAAAGAAAGACAGAAAATAGTAGAATTCACAATAGGATATATACATTTTATCCTTGGATTGTCAGAAAAGAAAGAAAGTTAAAATAGTGCTTCTAGATTGAAAGAATATAAGAATTAAATTAAAAAATCTTTGTATCAAACTGTTATGATGAAGATTCATTTATATTTATTAACATTCGCTTTAATTACATCATTTATGAGTTTTATTACAGCAACACAAAATGATGCTGGACGATTTTTAGTAAGTAAAAAAAAAAATGAAATTCTCAAATATATATTAGAATAATATTTTAGATTGGTGCTGGAATTCATGATATAACAGGACAAGTTGCAGAAAGTAAATTTTATTTTTTCTTCTAAGTCAAATAATTTATGCTCTTAAAAGTAAAAAAAAAAACATTCGATTTTTAATTTTGGAGAAATATTTTGTAATTAAATAATTTTTTTTTATGAATACTAAATCTTGTTTATTTCTGTTAGTTGGCTTTATGGGTTATGCAGTTCCACAACAACGAGGTCATGGTTTATTACAACGAATGCGTTCTCGTGCATTTATAATAGGTGATGTTAATAGACAAGAAAATCGTGTTGTTTATGTATCAGTTGATAATGGTATGGCATTTCAAATAGTTAAAACAGAAGTTATTGATCGTTTAAATAAAACATTTGGACCAAATTTATATACAGATAAAAATGTTTTAATATCTGGTACACATACACATTCAACACCTGGTGGAACAGGTGGTACTGCTCTTGTTGATATAACAACATTTGGTTTTGTTAAAGAAAATTGGGAAGCATGTGTTAATGGTGTTGTTCAATCAATAATACGTGCACATAAAAATCTTCAACTTGGAAGAATTAAAATAAATATTGGACAAGTTGATAATGCTAATATAAATCGTTCTCCAGCTTCTTATTTAAATAATATTGATCGAGGACAATATACTGATAATACAGATCATGAAATGACTGTTTTAAGATTGGAATCCATTGATGGAAAAAATGAAATTGGTATGATTAATTTTTATCCAGTTCATGCTGTTAGTTTAAATAATACAAATTTATTAGTTGCTGGAGATAATAAAGGTTATGCTTCATATTTATTTGAAAAATTAAAAAATCCACCAGGAACATTACCAGGTCAAGGAACATTTGTTGCTGCTTTTGGACAAAGTAATGAAGGTGATGTTAGTCCTAATTTAATGGGTCCAAAATGTATTGATACTGGTTTACCATGTGAATTTTATACATCAACATGTAATGGTAAGACTGAAAAATGTATTGCTTTTGGACCTGGAAAAACTATGTATGAATCAAATCAAATTATTGGAAAAAGACAATTTGAAACAGCAAAAGATTTATATGACAAAGCTGAATTATTTATCGATGGCAATAGTATTGTCAATTTTCGACATACTTATGTAGATATGCAAGTAAACAATAGAATCTTCATTTTAAATTAAATATGAAAAAATTCTATTCAATATTTTTCTTTAAATTTTAGACAATAAATGTAAGTAGTCGTTTTACATCAACAGGACGTAATGAAACAACATGTCAAGCTGCACTTGGTTATTCATTTGCTGCTGGTACAACAGATGGACCAGGAGATTTTGATTTTACACAATCAACAAATTCAACAAATCCTTTTTGGCAATTTGTTTCATCCTTTTTAGCTAAACCAACTGAACAACAAATTCGATGTCAAGCACCTAAACCTATTTTATTGGATGTTGGTCTTATTAAACCAATTGAATGGGTTCCTTTTGTTTTACCTCATCAAATCTTTCAAATTGGACAATTATTTATTGTTGCAGTTCCAGGAGAATTTTCAACTATGAGTGGAAGAAGATTAAAATTAACTATTAAACAAGCTTTACAAGATGCAGTAAGAAAACAAAACATTTTTATTTTAATCAGAATTTATTAAAATATTTTTATAGAAAAAAAAACAGCATATGTCAAACCTATACATTATAAGTTTTTTAAGGAAAAATTATCTATATAAAAAAAAAATACCAAAACAATATTTAGAATTTGCATATGAAAACGTTTCAATAACTCTATTTGTCATCATGAAATAATTCTCATTCGACATTTTATACTTCTTTGTTTTGACTTTTTTATTTCCCTATAGAGAAACATAATTAATAACAAATGTTTTATAAAGATCATTCGATAATAATTTTCTCAATTTGATTAAAGGGAACATGGACATCGGATAGTCATATAGTAATAGCTGGTCTATCAAATAGTTATTCTCACTACATTACAACATTTGAAGAATATCAACAACAAAGATATGAAGGAGCATCAACTTTATATGGTCCACATACATTAGCTGCTTATCAACAAACATTTTATGATTTGTCAATGAAATTAGCTCGAAATGAATCAGTACCAAGTGGTCCAACACCATTTGATATGAGAGGAAAAACATTTTCATTCGTTCTACCACCAATTTGGGATGGTATGTTACTGTTAATATATTTAATTATAAAAAAAGAAATATTTCTTTCAGAAAAATCTCTCTGTAAATTGATAATCAAATTGTCTAAGTTTGTTTTGTTTCATAGGTGTACCACTTGGAAAGAATTTTGGTGATGTTATAACTGATGTTGATCCATCATATAAACCAGGTGATACAGTTCGTTGTTCATGGTGGGGAGCTAATCCAAGAAATGACCTTTTTACAGAAAAATCATTTTTATATGTTGATCAATTTGTTAATCAAGCATGGGTACCAATATTTACAGATGATGATTTAGAAACTCGTTTCTTATGGAAACGAAAATTAATAGATCAAAGTATTATTACAGTTGAATGGGATATTCCAACAACACAACAAACTGGCCCAGATCTTTATCGATTACGTCATGTAGGTGTTAAAAATAATATTTTTGGTCGTCAACAATACAATGCACAATCAAAAACTTTTACAATCAACAATTAAACTTTATTAGACATGTTTAATCTTTCACTCATTTTCTTTTACTCGATTCTAGTGAAAAATTTTCTTTGTAGCTGAGAAAACATTTCGAAGTAAACTTTGCATACACTTTGTCTTGATTCTTTATATTATCAAATAAACAAAATTTTTTAAAATTTTATTTTCTAATCTGTTTTATTTCAGTTTCTTATCAAGAATACTGTAGTTATATCGTAATTTAGGTTTGACGACACAGAACAGAAGGTATAAATATTACTTGAACGACGACTAAAATTGTATGATCAGATTTAAAAGATTTAAAAATTATTGTGTTTTTTTTGACAAATATTGTTTCAATTATGTATAGATAGAACAAAATATATTCAGTAAAATACGATGAATTCTGTAAAAACAAAAGACACTTCCATCCAAATTCATCATGACGTCTTTATCTCTATGAAAAAATCAATTAAACTTTTGACACACTAATGTTCTATTTAAGATATGAATACAATTAAGTTTTTTTATTGTTCACATTTTGATGAAAAAAACGATTGAGCTCTGTTAGCAAGCGTAATAAAAATATAGTTCACATGGATCTTAAAATAATTCTCATCTAGGATTAATAGGTTCGAAAGACTTTCTTGATATATTATGTCTATTTAGTCATTAGTAAAGACTGGAAATAGGTTGTCAATTTTTGCTAACAATATTAAAAGTAGACAAAATTTATTGTAGTACTGTTTTAATAGAAAAGTCCTCCATCACAAAAACTTTGATCTCTCTCCAATTCTAAGTCTAATAAGTTCACATATATCGAAGAATGACTTTGAAAACGCTGTTGTTGTGAAATAAGAAAAAGGCTAAGAAGACTTACGAAAAGGATGTAAATCTAAACGAATCAAGAGAGTTGGGATGAATAGTCTCGATTCAAAAACTACAAAGCTGTTATAAGCAGCACTTTCTGCCATCATCGACAGAATAGATTAAGTCGTGGCTTATATAGGATGGCTGCCAAATATTAATATTTATTAGTTGCAAATAATCGATACCATATGATTATACAAGATTTTTGTGTTCATTAGTATTTTTACCCATTCTGTTGTTGATTCTCGTTCGTATTTGATTATCAAGTTCTTAAAGTGTTCACCGTAGTAACGAGTAAAAGTGTTTAAATCATTCTCATTAGGCATCCTCAAACGAAATACTGTAATATCAGTGTCTTTACGTCGAAATGTTGCACCTGTTTGATGAATGTTTAATCCACTTAAATTTACAAGAGTTTGTTCGACAGCTATGCCTACAACAACTTCATCCATCTCAACTTGAAGTACTCTTTGAAATTTATTCATTAGTTCATTATGGCTTCTAGTTATATTTTCGAGCTGGTATTGTAATCTCGTCAGTGAACGTCTTAATTGGGAAAATGCTGGTCGTTCTTGTGCATTTATGTTCATTGTGGTCAAAATCACGGACCATGTTTCATCACTGCACATAATGGGTTTTGGCAATGTTTCACCCGAGGCCACACGTTGATAAACTTCTCTATCCGTTTCGATGTGAGACCATGGAATCTTGGCTTTTGAAAAGCCTTCCCACATAGTTACACCCATAGAATAAATGTCTGATTTTTCAGAACATTCCTGATTTTGAATTAATTCCGGTGATGCATAACGTACTGGAATGCAATCATTTACCACTGATTCATTTTTAACTGATAAATATATAGAACTGTGTCGAGTAAGACCAAAATCAGTCAATTTAACAAGATTATCTTCAGGCTTGTACTTATTGAAACGAAAAACTAGTACATTTCTACATGCTAGATCTCCATGAGTCACACGATTATATGCAAGATAAGTCATTGCATCTGTTATTTGTGAAAACATTTCAATCAAAATCATTTCATCTGGAACCCTTGGTTGATCATCGAGTAGATCATGAAGACTTCCTTCTGGAGCATATTCTTGAAGTAACATAATGGAGTCTTGAGGTGTCGGCTCAACCATTCCATATGTTCGTATAATATGTGGGTGACGGCTCAATTGTACACAAAATGATGCTTCTCGTTTTGCTCGCACACCATTCATTTCCAAAATAATTGTTGGCGGAGCATTTCGACGTGTTATCCATTGAGCATGATATATAGATTTGAAGTTGACACGAAATATTGCCTTACCTTCTTTTCGTACGTCAACATTCAACTTAAAACGATAATCAACGGAATGTAATGAATTTTCAAATTCTTCTATTAAACTTTTGATACGACCATTGGAACGCAAACCTTCAACGGACAAATTTTGTTTTGTCATTGGACTTGTATGATTTTCTTGAATCCACTTAACAATTGCAGATTCTTCATATGTATAGCCATCCTCAGCAAGAACTGGGACCGAGAATAATTGTTGAGTTATAGGACAAATCAAAGAATCAGTCATCTGGTGCTCTGTACAACCCGTTATTTTGTTGCTGTCGATAGACTGAAGTTGAAACAGAATTGGTTAATAATAAATACAAGCTTTCTTTTTCTTTCGTTTGCTGCTTTTTTTTGTCATGTTTTGCATTTTGATGAAGAAAAAGAGAAAGGAAAATAAAAATTGACTTACAGTATCTTTCATCAGACTTTTTTTTTTCTTCATATTCCTATCGCTGAAAGTAAAGATTATTTTACTCTTTACGTCACTACCTATGCTGATGGCAGTCTAGTTTCATCTCGAACTCATGTGGATCCCACGTTGATAGACAGTGAACAATAGATAAAATTATGATTGAACTATGGAAGAATCATAATGATCTCACAAATGACATTTCAACAAGAAAGAGTAGCACAAGAGCAGCTGATTCAAGCTATGTTTATTAGTCTTTTTTTTCTTTTTTTTCTTCTCTTTTTCATTCCTACTAAAAAAAGAACGGTCAACAACTCGTGTTCGTAATTCAAAGTGAGTCACTTCTTAGTTTGGGATTTTTTTCGTGACATAAAACTTGCGAAACTTAATCATATCGTGCACGTGTGTGTGAGTGTTAGTGTGGATATCAGGTATCATTTAAACCCACACCCTATTTGGGGTGTGAAGGCGAGTCTAAGTGTTAGAGTGAATATGATTCAACAGCAAGGTCCATCTCCACACCCTCACCCTCACAGTTCTTCAAATACCGACGGTTTTCAATGAATATTCAAATGGAATAAAGTCAAGTCAGTACAGATACTATTGCCGTCTATGTCACTTTCCAATATTTTTCTTGATTTAATCAATGTCTCAACAAACCCGTTTAGACGCACATAGTCGTCAGAATAATTTGCATACTGAGCATTGACACCTAAAGTAGGTCCAAAACATGAAAAAAATGATCATAAACAGTATTTCTGCACCGGTAGCATCGATAATACATTCCCCTATTCGATTTGTAGTCACTTGAACGAAAAGAATTCTACATTATCAAAGGATAGTGACAAAATTTTCAAAGAAGATAAAACATTAAAAAAATATCACTATTTCGCAAATGAGTGACTGTAGATTGATATGTTTTCGATATTCTCAGCTTTGTTTATATTCCCCAACGAGTATTTTCATCTTGCTTGAACTCTTAGATATCAGCGAAACCCGTAGACTCAGTTAGCATGGGCACAATAGCAATCATTAACATAATGGAGACAGCTTGTCCAATATCCTATTATTTTGCAACATTTTCTCCGACTGTACTTCTCATTAATGGAAGAAGTCCTGCAGTATATGACACAGTTTGTCTATCTGATTGAGCATGTACGCTTCATTGAAGCATTTCCATTTTCAATGTACAGTTGAACTAGAGTATTTCTTACCATGACTGTATTTTTGTCGCAATGCGACAATAGCATTGAAGTCGGTCTCCGAAGAAGAACATTTTATGCTGTTTTTCAATTGGAACAGTACAGAGATCGTATGAAAACTCTATCCTAAGCTCAAAGAAGAAAATATTCCAGCTTGATTCGATAGAAATGGAAACATGAAAGACTATACGTATATAAAGTATTCGTATTAAAAACCTTATTCTTAATTTCTACTCCTTAAATGGATTGTCCTTTTACTTAGTCTGGCTGATAGAGTAGAAAATATTGCAATCCTCTATTGTTTCATGACGCCAGATTATGCCAAACCGCAGACTTGTAAATTCGAACTACAATACGCAAGAACCCCACATAAACTAATCATTCCATGTGTGCTTTGCCACATAGCCCAACTGACGATGTTCTCCTGCCCACAATGACTCACACTGAAAATAACCTAGAATGCTTGTGGCTCGTTTTCCTTTTATTAAAAGGCTGTAGGACATAGTTATGGGTAAATGGGTGTCTCTTCACCCATCCACACCCTCATACATGATCAATATTGGGTTTATAACATGGCTTTTGTTTTCATTTGGATCAGTGTACTTTTCAGTTTATCTTGATCAGCTGCATGAACAGAAGGAGCAAAACCATCTACACCGCGTGTTGCATAAGTTCCGTTTAAAGAATTCTCTTGTTTTCCTAAAGTGATGCCTTCCACTGCACCTGCATCTAAAGCAGCTTCAATTGTTTTGACGACTTGATCCGCCGTCGGAATCAGTTCAAATTTACCTTCCACTGCGGCAGCAATGGAAGCAACTGCTTGAAAACCGAGATTTGAATTCCATGAGGTAACAGGAATATCTGAGTATACACCACTTGCCATAATAGTTTTGCCATCTAGTGCAAGCGGGATATTATCTTTTAGATTCGCCATGCCAGCCTCATTGCCACCATCACCGATTGCGATGATAATACCTTTACCTTTAAATTGAACAAGCATTTCATCGACTGGCGGATTCCAATCGTTAATATTGGCACCTCTCATGTTTCGACGGATTCCATCATGCCAACTACGACTGCTGAGCTCTCCAGTAATCATCGCTTTGGGTTTCAGCTCATTAATGAGTCTATGTGCTTCCTCAACTTGTTCCTTTTCATCATGACGCGCAATAAATTCGTGAACACAATTGTCAGCGACTTGGATTGATTTCAAACACGCACGAAGCACATTACATGTGATCGGGTCAGCAACATATGACACAGAATAAGAAAGTTTGCGAAGCGTTTCACCTGCAAGCACTGCTCCTGGAGGGCCATCTGTTTCAGCTACTGGTGTCTTTTTACTATCCACAAGTTTTGCTGTCACACAGAAACCGGTAAGAATTGTAATCGGTGAACCCTTTTCGAGACTTAGCAAAGCATATGCAGCTTTTTCCGCGCTTCCTGGTGGTGCATAGAATTTTGACAGATTTCGCATGTCATAACTGGCGAGAATATGATCAACTGGAGTAAATTCTTTTGTTTGCGACGTTATTGCCCTCATATAGGATGTCGGAAGTTTCACTATTTCTGGCACTTTGACATTCATTAATTGCTTTGAAGAAAATTGGTCGTTTGTCGTTTCATCGGCTTTCAAATCAGCAAGATGATGTGCACTATCAATGACGGTTTCGATCGAATCATAACGGCGCGGTAAACAGACATAATCGATGGAAGACGATCCTAATCTTTCCATAAACTGAGACGTTATGACACAAAGTCGAGGAATCCGAATTTTCACAGAGTGATAGAATCCTTGAAAGAATTGAATGATGATTATGATAAATTTCAGAGAATGATTGAAAAACGACAATATCCTTCAAAAGAAATACGATGCCCCTCAAACATACATATCAAATTACAGAGTTGGAACGACATAATTGTACACTTGTATTCATGGAAAACTATATGAGAATGAAAACCCATATAAAAAAATGTGTCTGAAAAAAAAAACAGATTATTTTCGAATAAGCGAAAACAATCGGATTTTTCATGCCAGTTTTTGATTAAATTAAATTAAAACCACGTTTCGAACCGATTACATTCAAAGAAACCGATTTTAATCAATTAGAAAAGAATTGATGACAAAGTTTCTAGATTAAGCGTCGAATTTTAATCAATAACAGAAAATAGTCTATTTTAATGGATTCGAATGCAATCACTTAGAGCGATTCGAAATAAAATCAATAGGAGTGATTTTGGGTTTCATTAATGACTTCAGTCAATTTCGAACGACAATAAATTATAATCGACTGCTTTAACATAAAAAACCATTGGGTTCGGATACAACGAGTTGTTTAATTCTCTCTTCTCACCGATAGAGGAAATGAACGCTGAAAGTTAAAACATTTTTCGTAGCCGACAACTGAAAGATTAGTATCCTCTTGACCTAGGCTTCCCTTTAAAAAAAATTTCAGGAACTGAGAGCGATGGAGCGCATAAAATTTCAATCATTCGCTTATCTGATTTATTCATGGCGGTGTTATCTAGCTTTTGATGTGTGAAATTTTTGACTTTACCAAGCAATCATAGCATGTTGTCGTTTTTTCAAAAATGATCTCCCTGTGCTAATTATTGGTAAATAACAAGAAAAAAGTTTTAAGCAAGATTCTCACGGATCAGAATATGAAACATGATATATTCTTTTTAGTTGTACATTGGAACTTTCTTTGATAATAGTGTATTCAAAATTACAATACAGAGGTGTAATTTATGTGTCTTAAGAAAAAAAATTACCCGTTCTTTCGACGTTGTTTTGGTAGCAAACGTGTAGACTAACTTGTCGTGCGCTGAAATGATTTTCGCACGACGAGCACAAGTGTGTTCTCTCCTTATACAGAACAATAAGAAAACAGAAAGAGAAGAACAGAAAGAAAAAAGAAATAATAAGTCAAGTAATTTTTGCGTATGTGTGCAGTGTCTTACATAGATCTGATTGATATAAAGAATAGCATGTCACAAGCAGCCGCAGTAAAAAAAAACTTTCGAGCTCTTTTTCTTATCTATGCCTAACAACACGTTGCTCCTTTTTTTAGTTCTGTTTCTCTTTCACATGTCTCTATCAAAAAACATAAGCAACACAATTACAACACAATTCTGACGCAAGCATTGAAAGACATTCGCAGAGGAGAGCAATGAACAATTTCATTATAATTCCCATCGAACTGCTGCATGGTTTCTATTATTACATTTAGTACAATAAATATTTCGCTCAATTATTGAACTCGCACTTAAGCAAAAGTTAACAGTTTGTGATGTTATCAACCACTACAGGACTATCAAGTCTCTATGTGAAATAGCTCTCCGCAACAATATAGTTAGAAGAGAATTATCCAATTCAAACATAATAAGCAATATAATATTTACAAAGGTTTCGTTGTATATGCACTTGTTACATGCAAAAAAGTATAGTTTGCTTACATTTAGCAAAATAAAAATAAATTCATCACTAAGAATACTATGATCTAGAGTGTGGGCATGGATGAGTACGAATGCTTGCATAAATGATAAATACACCCGCACCCAAGGTGTAAGTTTATTTAAATTTTTTTTTATATAATTATGCAAGAGTCAAGTGAAAATATCATCACATCAACACCTAGTCATATATCGACTCATATTCATAGAGTATTTTTTCATGTCAGGTACATGTTCCAACATATCTTCTTTGTCAACGCTTATACAAGAGTATTTGAATGCACGTCAACAGTTCATTTACTTGTAAAATTTGGAAGTTGGAAAAAATGATGAAAATGGTAGCTTCTTGGTTAAACTTAAAAAGAATGCATTTTATTAAAGCAAGAGGTGAAAATCGATTTAGATATCAGTAAATCATTATCAATCAAACAAAGCTGAATAATTTACATTGAATGAAAGTCACATTTTCTGATTTAAAATAAAAGAACATAACTTTAATTATTCTTGAATCTTGCCGTTTTAATCAGTTTTAAATCAATCTACAACTTCATTAAAATCTGATTTTTCGATTAAAATCTTGTTACACAGTAAGGGTATAATAAAATCCCTGTGTCTACTGGGTCTGTTAGGACTTGATCTTTTTCATACTGCCTACATATCACTTTTTGGAAGCTATTGATTTGAATTAAACGAGCAGCATCAGGATTGCCACATTTCAAAAGTTGGAAAAGTTTCTGAAATTGGAACATTTTTCAGATTACTTTCAAATTTTCTGATTTTGGTACTTTCTTTTGATTTTTTTCGAAATCTGAACGTTAAACTACACAACTTTTCTGCATTTCTTTACTTATGTTCTTGACATTCTATCAATATGCTATTAAGAAATGCAACAAGTACTATGAAATTATTTTTATTAGATGATGTCAATAAAGAGCAAAAGAAGCGAAGAAACTATAGCTATAGTATAAAATGAAATTGAATTAAAAAATTTCGCTGCCAGAAATGATAATATTGAGATTTTCGAGATTGATATTCGAAAAAAATGGTCACGAAACAAAATTCAACTAAAAACACTTCTTAATTTTTGTTTGGCAGAAGAGAGACCATTATGCATTGTCAATCATGAAATTTAACGAAACCACTAATAAATGTCCGATATTGTCATATTTATTTCAGAAGTTAACTAGAACTGAGGTAGCTCCTCCAATCATAACGTATGACTGACTAATAGAATAGTAGTCAAGAATATATTGAAGAGTGTAAACAAATACGTACCAGTTTGAACATTGATTCCAGAAAAGATTATGACAAAAAAATTGTTAAGTTACTCATTGCGACAGCTTGTTTTGTTTAGACTTACTCGACAATGCATTTAATTTAATAGAACAACTTCTAGAAATGATAACTGACTTCACTGATGAATTAATATCGATGTCTGATATAAATTATCTTTTATCGTTAACAGACGCACAACATATTTTGAATCATGGTTTAACACTTGTGAATTACCTTATGAATTATTCCAATCAGGTAATGAAAATGAAAAAATTCATGTTAGAGCATAACTTACTTAAGCAATTACCGTCGATACTTATAATCCGTCACAGTTGTGATTGTTATAAGTTGTGTTCATGGTTGATTTAAGAGAAAACAGTTTTGGAGGTATTGTAAAAAATGACTGAGCAGTCTCCCCAGTGGCAGATATCCATGTTTTTCAACAGAAGAAAAACTGATTGCTTTCGATTGTCAAAAATTTCATACACGAAAAATTCTGAAAATTTTTCTTTTGAGTGAAAAAAACCGGGGTCTAAAAGCAGCAATTAATTGATTTGTGTCTGTATGTCTATCCCAAACACGTTTACAGGGATATAGTATCCGCGCAGGATGTAAGTGTGATTGAGAAGGATGCGCCCATCGACAACCACATTCATATCCAGACTCGCACTTTCCTTCAATTCGTTTTCAAAGTTGAAGAAACCCTGTAATACTAATTCTTTTGTAAGTACTCTGTTACCCACTTAAAGAGCTTGAAACTTGAAATTTGATTTCGAGAGATTTTCTTTGATCAAGATCAAACATGGATGATTTATAAGTCGAGATTGAATTGTATGAATGGTCATCTCCTTATGAAATCTTCAATAAAAAAAGAGAGAAAGTCTTTTCGATTTAGATTTTATTTGCCAATGATCATAAACACATCGAATCATTCATTCTCAATCGAGATTCGATTGAGTTTGAATGAAAATGTTCAATTTCATTCGATAAGCATTGTCCACCTGTCACATCGATTTCTGTGAACCAAAAAGCCAAAATTAACCTGAACCTGTATATTAGTTTCCATAAAGAATTGACTCATATTCTTTTTAATTGATCAAATATTGAAATGAATCAACTTTTCAATAGCACCTATGAATTTGAGTTATAAAAACTATTATAGAAATTTGAAATCAAAATAAAAACATTTTTCGATGAATCGATTTCCTTCAGTTTAATTAAAAGATCAAAATTTCCATTAGAAACAAAAAACGAAAATCATATCTAATCGGCATATTGTTTCACAAAAAGAGAAAAGAAATCGGTTTTGTCCTCTGAGATTCGTTTTTTCACAAGTGAACAAAACAAACTTCATTGCATACTCACAATAGACAACTATTCAATTGTATAGTATCGCTTGGAAATGCCTTCAGTATTGATATTTGTATTGTTGCCTTTGTTGTAAATCACAGTTTGTTTTCGTAAGATGTTTACGAAAGGTTTTGTAAAATAGTTATCTTTTTTTTTCTTTTATGTTCTAAGTTTTATATCCCAAACAGAGTTTTGAAAGAATATTGTGAAAATGATAAACTCTTATCAATTCAACGATAGGTTTTAAATTAGAAAGTTAGATTTTAATTTTCGAGTTTTTTAACGTTACATTTTCTAGGAAGTCAAAATTCATTGTCAAATCTACATGGACATTTCCTAGAATATTGTTCTGTGTTTTCAATAATGCGTTTTCTAATTTATTTTATATTTATAATACGAAAGCACTGATGTAAATTAGATGAATATTTATATAAATGCTGGAGTATTCTACATTAATACGTTGTTTTATATGTCTGCTTCGTACCAGTTTGTGCACTCCTATAAATCGCCTCTATCATTCTATGCCGAATAACAGCATCTTCCCAAGTAGGATATAAGCCTCCTTCTTTTGCGAACTCATCGTATGCTCTTCCAACATTGACATGAGTATCTTGTTCATCATGTACTGCAATTTCTATCATATCTTCGCCATCGAAGCTTGCGTAAAGTGTTGGGAAAGAGAGTTGCAGGTGTCCATTTGGTCCTCTAACTTGTAATTCACCATGAGTACCTTCAACTTCCCACAATAAATTCGTACCTTTGTATGAACCACCACGTAAATGAGCTGATGCATATGCACCGGAAGTCAAGACTCCACTGACACTCATCTGATCATGAGATGTGAGTGGTATATCACGAATTTTGTTTCCTTTTTCATCCAGAAGTTCGATAGTTTTTCTTGCGTTATGAGTTGTTGCGGTAAGTGATTCAAATTCTCCCAAGATATAGCACATAGCATCTAATAAATGACCACCAAGTATAGTAATCATGTTTGCTCCATTTTCAATGTCAGCGAGATATGCATTGCTTTCATTTACTGCAGCACCCCAAGCTATACCTCCTGCATACAGATGTGTAGACAATATTTTGCCAAGCTTTCCAGAACTAATTATCTCTTTCATCTTCTTGACAACAGAAGACTGACGTCCTTGCAATCCTACCATTGTTTTTACACCTTTTGAACGAGCCAATTGAGTAAGTTCCTCTGCTTCTTGAAGATTTCGTCCAAGAGGCCATTCAACGATAACATTTTTGCCTTGTAAGAGAGCAGGCATGATGAGAGATTTATGTAGCGGAACTTTAACAGATACGACGACAGTATCAATGTCTGGATCTTGTGCTAATTCTTCTGATGTTGCATAGTATTTATTAACACCAAATGCTTCAGCTGAAGATTTCGAAGATTCAATAGTCGAATTTGCAATTGCTTTTATAGTGTAGATCGAAGAATTTTTCAAATAGGATTCATGAGCACTCGAAGCCCAACCTCCTTTCGAGGAAAGACCGATAAATCCAATGTTGATTCTAGAAGACATAAAAGATAGACGAATGCGATGAGTTTATATGTATGTGGTGTATATGTCTGGCGTGTTTATGCTCGTCGAACGTTTTTATAAATATATAAAAAAAGATGCACTGATCATGCTGACGTGTTTTTTTTGCGTTCTCACACACTGAAAAGTACGCTGAGGCCGCATCGTATACATATCATTCATGCGTTGTCATCAACATAGTTACCAAGTTTTCTTTTCAGAGAGAATGAAGTTTGAGTGAGGAAGAGAAACATCAGTCACCAAAAAAAATTCTGTACAAAACAGCATTCGAAGACGAATATTTAGAAAAAAATGACATTTTGTTTATAAATGCATTGTCTTTTACTTTCAACGCGTCTCGTTTCTTCAACAAATGCTACTTAAAATATCGTTTATATTTATTTCGTTTCGTGAGTGTTGAATCGATATTTTTAAAAGTAAAGATATGTCACTTTTTTTATGTTTTATATAGTGGATCATCACTGATTGACGAAATTGAAAAAACTTTGCTCGATGCACGTGCTTTTTTAATATAGATATTTTTTGTCTCTTCACCTGTTACACATGCATATATATGTAAGCTTGTATGCAATACTACGACTACATAGGAAAGATAAAAACCCTGAGAAGTGTCATCCAGAGAAGCAATAAAACATAATTAATTGACTTCAATGCTAACCAATGCAGCAATGTATAAAACAGAATAGAAGAAGTGTATGATATGAAGAAGAAAATACTCTATTGACAAACCAGTTTAGATTGTCTTCGAATAGGGTTCGCGTGGATCATATGTAAGGCAGCACCTACAATTGTTTAATGTTATCATTCAAGACAAAGTACTCTTTTCGCTCTCTGTTGCCAATCAAGAAACGAATCGTGACAGACAGAAAGTACAATAAATATGAGACCATAAGTAAAGAAGAAAAATAGCGCATGATATTCGTGCTTTGTTCTGATTGAATACCACATCGAGAAATAATTAGTGCTACCATAAAGGGTAAAATAAGGCAATGATGTTTCTATAAGTGAGCAACAATCAGTACACCAATTGTAAAAATGGTAATGATCATTGTAATTAAATAGACATAGACAACTGATTCTCATATGCTCAGAATTCGATGATTAGCATACAAAATAAACTAATGCAAGCTGGTGATCTATAATCGAATATATTCTTCCAAAATGAAAACAAAATCACTTAAGTTTAATTAATAATAATGCAGATAATGATATAATAATAATAATGAGAGATAATCAACAAAAGCACTCCTTTTTTTCTGATAGTACACTGTTTCAGAAAAAAATCGTTTCGTTTCGCCTATCAATAGCAGTTTGAACTTCTCACTATCGACACCTATAGATAAACAATCGGGCCATGAGAAGATCTATGGAATTCTAATTTATCCTAAATCAGCAGACGATAAGAGGCAACTTAACACTAATCTTGTTTGGAGAAAATACTTCTGTTTTAGATACTCGTTACTAAGTAGAGTGTTCACTAGGTCATAAAAGGACTAAAATGGAATAATAGAATCAATAGTTCAGAAAAAAATATAGAGGTTAGTACCATCGAAAAGTAATTTGTTTTGAGCAGATCTCTGAAAACTTGAGGTTGAAACTAGAGATAGCATGTGAAAATCAGAATCAAATTCTGAATCGTTTGATATATTATCATTCTACAAAAGTCAGTGCCCGATATTTATAATCATGGTGCATAATTCACTTTCAAATCTGCTATAAAGGGCATGAGTCACTGGTCCTGAACACCTTACCAGATTTTGTTTGAATAACAAATCCGATAAGTTGTAAAACGGTATCATAATAGATATCCATATACTATTTTAGTAGTTTCGACAGGCACTGAAATGAGAGTTAGTGTTGTTGGAAATTTATTTTTGGGAGATGATATGAAACCTTTATGTAAAAGAATTTTACTGACCGAAAGTGTTATAATATCGAATATCAAACAGAACAGATCTTGTAAAACAAATATGATTGATGTTCATACAGCATGTCAAATGCTTGTTGATTACAGTTTATTATATTTTGAAGATATAGTACATGCAAATAGAGCCAGTTTCCATGATGCTTATCTTAAAAAACTTCCACAAGCTGACTCTTATCGGTACAATCCGGCATGTATAACGTCGGTAAGTCTTATGAACCTTGCAAAATTGGTAAGTTGTTCTTGATTTGAGTCAATAATATATGACATAGAATAAATCATTTGTGGAATGTTTTTCGAACTATTTCTTTTTACTTTGAGTTGAGTGATATTTTTCTCGATGTGAGTTCCTATCTGATTTCTGAAAGCCAAGTTGTTATTCGTCAGATTAAAAAAAGTTCTCTTCGTATACATATCAATTACAGAATTTTTATTACTGTTTTAAGATAAATAGTTTTATAATAAAAAACTACTTTTAACATCAAATATTGACCGAAGATTTACATTATTAGTTGGAAGCTGTGTTAATCTCATAAACAATTTGTTTTAATACACGTCTATAGTGCAGACTAACAATTGAAGGAGTTTAATTTGAATTATGTAGCAGAAGCTAGGACTATTCTGGACAATTCATTTTGTTTTTCATCATCGTATTCGCCGATGCATTAGAAATTGAAAGGAAGAATCGATTCAAACTTTGTTCGCTAAAAGCAAATGGTTTTTCATGATCTGATATTGTTAGTATGATATTAGAAAGTGGAAGTATGAACACGTAGATCTTGTTTTGAATTATGTATGTTTCAGGTTTTTTCCTTGTACTACCAAAGCCATCGAGTAAAAATATTGTAGGTAGTTGCGCAATATCACATTAAAAGTGAAACATCATCTTGAACTATAATAGTTCGTCTACGATGAATATGTTATTTTGCACCGAAGCTTTTTCTATCAAATATAAACAACAGATTTTCTAAAATTTCAAAAACTATAAACTTGCGAGCACACATTATTCAAATCTAAAAGAACCAGTAACCTTTATATGCTAATATAACCACTATATAATATATTATATATTACAGTTGATACAAAAAATAATAAATACATAACTCCATATGCATTATTAATTTTTAACAGCAAGCCACATATTAATCTCAAAAATACTGTTGATGAAAATACAATTATTGATTCTATAATATAACATCATCGTAAACTATTCAACACGTCAACAAAATAAAATCAACTTAAAAACGATAGCTGTACATCGACAATTTTATTTTCTCGTATATGTAGCGTTGTTCATGAAATTTGATGAAACAAGCGATGCTCCAGAACAAGAATTTCCAGCTTCTAATACAAAGCAGAAGAAATGTCGTAAGTTGGCAACTGTAGGAAAAGAATACCCCGAACAGCAATTTGAGTTCAGAAAAAAAGAACGTTTTATAATACGCTTTAGTTATGAACAGAGGTAGGACGGTTGGGTTGAGAGTTTCGATTTGACTAACTGTATGAAACGGTCTCTGCTCTGCTCTAAGTTGATCTGTTGTTTCAGTACAGCTCAGATCCCAGGAGTTGTTCAAACAGTTCTTTTGATAACAACTAATCTGCTTCTACAGTAGTTGCATTAAGGCGTTATCAGTTCTTAAGTTAGTCTGCTGGCTATTTTCATGTTTCGGAATATCGTCTAGCTGCTAGAATGAAAAATTTAATTCTTTCTTCACAGACATTGTTTGCACTCACTATCCTGATGGGAATCAATTCTCATTATTTCGTCTAATTTCTCTTGGACACAGAGCAAGAAGAGAAAACTTCAACCAACTAAATTCTCGAAGTCATGGCATCCAGTCAAACGGAGTGCTATCAGATAAAATTGAACAAACCGAATTTTCTAAGTGATATAATTCGATTACTTTTTCTAGAAGTAATCCGAAGTAAAACTCAAACAAAATCAATTCTCCAAATTTCATCGGTAGTTGATTATTGTTTAACATATAGAGTTAGGAGAAAAAAGTTCACAAATCAACTCAACACTGGTATAGCTAGATTTTTTCTTCAATACCGATTTGAGAAAAACATTCAATGAAATCAAGGTTGAAGTAATATTAATATATCTCTCCTTCAACAGAAATATTCAACAGAAATCAGATGAGGAAATATTTCTCGTCGTCATGCATCTAAGAAAACATTGAATTAACTGAATTATTGAAGGGTGTAGACGTGCGTGTGTACGTTGGTTCTGGTTTTATCTTCACGGATACTAATCGCTACACACCCCCATGCACTCACCATACAACACACACCCTTATCGATGGTTCACGATTTTTAACATTCATTTATCAGCAAATTTGAACAAGCACTGTGACTGCTTTTACAGCATGACAAGGACGATCAATAGGATGTAAGTTAATAATATCTACCACGAACTTATAACTAGTTATTACGATACTCGTTTACTCTTTCTATCTATTTAGAAAGGTGAGTCAAGTCCACTCCACGTGATTGTCTTCAAAAAAATATACGGTCTATTTTCAAAGCGAACATGAAAAGTAGAACTTTTGATAAAATCAAATGATGCCTTCTACGACAGGCCAGCTATTTGAATATAGCATTCAATGAATTTTTATCGGTAATATGAGTCACAAATCTATACCAGTATCGTCAATCCAATACTACCTCTGATGGACGAATATACTGCATTACATAACATTATAATATCGGTAAGAGAACTAATAAATTTAATAGAAAAGAGATGAAAATGGTCTACTTTAGGTACAGTCAATCGATTGAATATGATAAACCCAGCATTATTTTGTGTCGTTCGATTTGAATTACAAATAAAAACTGGCAAGTTTTGAATAATGTTACAAATGTAATGAATGTAGAACTTATCTTTTTCATTGATTTGTACCTTGCACAAGATCGATGGGAAATTTTGAATTTCCATTTCAGTAAATGACGAAAGAATGAAGTAGTGATCTTCAATGTTTCGATGGTCAACTTGCAAATGTTCGTCGATGCCATGAAATACTTTTCTGGTCCGGGTCTATCTCAGATCGTACAGTTG